AGTGTTTTGCCTTGGTATGGTGGGGTCAGATCGGGCACAATTCCGCACTGTGTCTCCAGTGTTGTTCCCCATAGCGCTATGGATCAGTGAGGCACATGGTGTCTCGTAATGGGGCCTACCCTATGGTCCTCTCTGTGCATTGGCTGCTCTGAGCAGGAATATCTTCCTCAGGGCTTGTTTAGCCAGGATGTGCTCCACCCTCTCCCTCCCTTCATTTGCTCCCGTGTGCTCTGACCAGACATGTCCCTCTCCCTCTTCCTGAGCTGTAGCTTCAGTGCTGTCCTCTGAAGTACATTCTTCTGGGGGGCAGGGGGGCTGTCCACATAGCTGGGATTGCAGCCGGCCCCTCCGATCGAGTTCCATTCTAGTCGTCTACTGAGAACACCAAAACCAAACAAACACCCTGCCATCGAGTTGCTGTTGAGTCGTAGTGACTCTGTGGACAGGGTAAAACTGCCCCTGTGAGTCTCTGAGTTGCTCACTCTTTATGGGAGTAGAAAGTCCACCTTTCTCCCACGGAGTGGCTGGACCTTGCGGTCGGCAGCCCAACTTGTAGCCACTACACGATCAGTGCTCCTACTGACATTAAGGACCTTAAGGCCCGGTGGCTAGAGTCCATATTGGCCAGGTTATCATGTCTGTCACACCACGCTCCAAAACAAGGAGCATGTGATTGCGGCCTTGTGCAGGGCCAAGTTCAAGTTCCCTGGGCTCCAGAAGATCCACATCTCCAAGAAGTGGGGCTTCACCAAGTTTAATGCCAATGAGTTTGAGGACAGGGTGGCTGAGAAGCACCTCATCCCGGATGGCTGTGGGGTCAGATACATTCCTCACCGTGGCCCCTTGGACAAGGGGCGGCCCTGCATTCATGAAGGCCTTGGTAGCCCTGCGCTGCCTCACTTGTCCCCACCAAATCAAAGTCGAACTTCCTGAAGAAAAGGAAAAAAAGTAATTTAATCCACCATCTACATAAACCAATGGAAAGGAGCTACTTGGTCATATCAATCGATGCCGAAACAGAGCACGAGAAAATCCATCCCCTATGATAATGAACCACCCAGGAAAACAGGAGTAGAAGAGCCATTCCTTCGCACAAGAAGAGAATCGCTTGATAAGAAGGCGAGTGTCCAACATATCACTCAAAGGGGAAAAACAGAAAGCATTAACCTTGCAAATGGAAACCAGATAAGAATGCCCTGTATCGCCGGTCTTACTTATTATTGCGCTGGAAGTTTTACAGCTATTAAGAAATAAAAAATACATCAAAGGCATTTAAATTGGCACAAAAGAAGTAAAACTCAGTAGATGATCTCTATACGTCGAAAGCTCCAAAAATCGGACATGAAAAATAGGAACAATGCAAAGTTTTGGCAGCGTAACAGGATCTACACAAGAATTCATGAGGGTTGGAAGGTGGGGGAGCGAGGGGAAAGAAGAAGAGTCGATACCACGGGGTGAAGTACAAAGAAAACGTTGTGGACATGTTGATGGCAACATATGTACAAATGTGCCTAATACAATTGGATGATGGATGGTTATAAGATTTGTAAGAGTCCCCCAATAAAATAATTAATAAAATATACAAATAAATAAACTTAATATACAAAATTCAAAAGTAAAAAAGAGAGCAGAGGATATGAGAAGCGATTGGATTCTGGATATATCTGAAAACAGAGGCAATAACCTTTGGATGTGGGATGTATGAAGAAAAGAAAGAAACAAGGCTTTCACTGACGAGATTGAACGCTGTCTAGAAGCTGAAAGGTAAAGAAATTATTTATTGGGATAAGGAACACTGTGGGAGGAGTACACTTTAAGGTTAGTTTGAGAAGTTCATTAGATATATTCATAATAATAATGAATTGGTCATTGGATATATGCATCAGGAATTCAGAAGAGACTAGCAATATGAAAGGTATTTAAAAATCTGCTAATGGAATGAACTTGGCAAAGGAGAGAATGGAGTAAGGAGAGAGAGAAGACCAAAGGACTTTGCTCTGGGCTCTCCAAAATGTCTAATTGATGCGTGAGAGCCACAAAGGGGACCAAGGAGTGGTCAGTGACAGATGAAGATCGCCGAGGAAATAGGGTTTCCAGAAGACCAGCAGATAAGGCGGTTCAAAGCAGTCAACGCTCACAGTGCCAGCGATTGCTGGCGGCCCAGCAATAAGATGAGCACTGAGAACTCACCCCTGTTTTTAACAGGATGATCTTGCTAGGATGCGTTTGGTCGAGTGGTGGTAGGGAAAACATATTTGGAGTGAGTTCGAGAGAGTGGGTATACACAACTCTACGAAGGAGTTTTGCTGGGGAACAACAAGAGGAAAATGGAATGGTAGCTAGAGGAAAATGTGGGAGAGAGGAGCTGTGTTTTAGTTTAGTTGTTTTTTTTTTTCAAGAGAGAAAGAACTGCTATTTTATGTTGATGGATTCTGGAATGGAGTGGGGATACGAGGAAAGGGCTGTTCCCAGATGTCTGGTTAGGTTGCGTTGGTCAAGGAGGTGGAAAAATGGATATAATGCCCAAATAGGTGGTTTGGTAACTTCTAAAAATATGCAAGTGGGGATAGGTGTGGTGGTGGGACCTCTTGAAAGCTCCCTTCTGTTTGTCTCTGTTATCTCAGTGCTACAGAAAGTATGTTTTTCAGTGGAAAATGTGATGAGGGGGGATGTGTTAAGAGGTTTGAGAAGGGGATGACATATGTGATAGTGGGATTTTGCGTGAACTTGGCTAGGCCAGGATTGCAAGTGGCTTGGCACTTGTGGCAGTTACATAATCTCCTGACAATTTTCAAAGGGGTGGAGTCTATCCTGTAAATCAGGACATAGCCAATGAGGGCTCCATGTGGGCATGGCCTTCTCCTGAGGATTCTGGAGAAGTCCCTGGAGATGTGAAACTCTCTTTGCTTCATCTTCCTGCTGACAAGCCAAATGGAGCTATACTGATGCAGCCAGAGCCCTAGAACTGGAGGAGTCACATGGAGACCCACGCCAGCGCTGAGATGCTTTCCCTACCACTGGGTCCACAAGACTTTCCACCCACTAGCTTGTGATCTTCCTGCATTCAGCATCATTGCATGTGTTGTGTGAGTCTAAAGAGGAATTTATGGACTAGTATTGACACATAGGGTGCTACTGGGATGTTTTCTTAATGTAAAATTGCTCTTTGATATAAAATTCTCTCTTACACGCACATGAATGTCTCTGGATTTGTTTCTCTAGTCTACCCGGACTAACACAGCAATAAAAGCCTACTTAATCAATGTGAACAAACATAATATAATTACCCCCATAGTGAGCTAATTGTCTTTCTCTGGCAGAGCAATTGGTCCTCTTGAACTGCTAATCATGCAGTTAGTAGCCCAATGCATAACCCCTATGGCACCAGAGCAGTGAACAGTTCATCCCTTGTATGAAGATCAGGGTAGGATGTAAGCCCCTTACTCAGGTCACAGCAATGATACAATGGAAAAGAAGCATCCTCAGGAGTGTGACCTACTTCCTATATAAACAGATGCTGTGGAAACACTTGTTTGCGTTTTGCTGGGTCTGGTCCTGCATCTGGCCCACTGATCTCTAGTTCTTTTCACTTGAGCCAATGGCCTGCCATATTGCCTCCCGATGCTGGGAACCCTTAGTAGCCTGCCATTTGACCTGTCCACTACCCTGTAGTCCTTAGGTTCATCCTCCTCTACAACCACCAGCCTGTGGTGTCCCTGATTCAACAACCCCCAAAGCTTCATGATTCAGGGGAAGCCATCAGTGTAACATCTGACTTGGAACTTGACTGAACTGAGATCAGATTTGCCTGCTTCCATAACTGTGTGAATCATTTTCTTGATATGAATTTCTCTCTTGGGTGTGTGTGTGTGTGTGTGTGTGTGTGTACGTGTGTAGGAGCTCTGGTGGTTATTCATTGGGCTGATAATTTCAAGGTTAGCAGTTCAAAACTACCAGCTGCTCTGCCAAAGAAAGACAAAGCTTTCTACTCCCATAAAGAGTTACAATCTTGGAAACCCACAGGAGCAGTTCTACCCCATCCTATAGGGTTGCCATGAGTTGGCATTGACTCGATGGCAGTTAAATTTGGCTTTGGGTTTGGGGGTATGAGTGTGTGTGTACGTGAGTGTGTGTGTGTGTGTAGTGTGTAACTAGTTTTGCTTCTCTAGGGAATCCAGCCTAAGGCAGTATAAAATGTTTGCAAAGAGTTGAAGAATGAGTGAAGGGATATTTAGTATGGGATACACAGGAGTCCCTTTGGTCATGAATAGAAGGGTGAGGCTAATTAGCACTGCCACACCAATGAGTTTCTGGATGCAGGCACAGGAAGAGAGTGGGCTGGCTTATTCAGGGCTGAAACAATCTCAAGCGAATATGGTCGCTATCCGGTCCATCAGGTGGAACAGAATGAAACCCCCTTCCTGTCTCCACGCGGACTTCTGAGGGTCGCTTTCTAGGGATCACAACCTAGTCCAATCAGCATTGTGTCATCTTCACAGTGAAACCCACAAAACCCAGTATTCTGAAATACTCACCGCCCTTCAAATCTGTGTTTTAAAAAATCAAACAATGCTTTTTGCATCATATCCGTGACCTGAAATTGAGCAAGCAAAAAAAAAAAAAAAATTAAAACATGATAAAAAAAAACATTACTAAACACAATCAAAACAATTTCATTCCTACTGGGGAGGAATCCACAAAAACTGGGGACTCACAGTTGGAAAAAAGTAACATGGGAGGTCACCATCTTTGTTACATTTCTGAGTTCCAAGAAAATGAAAAAGAAAAGTTCTCTGAACTGCAGGTGCGATTTATTACCCTCAATTATACTGCACGTGGTTTTTGTGAATGTCCGTTTGGCACTGTTTCCCTGGGCCCATCAGGTACAGCTAGCAGGACGCCCCAAAGCAACAGGGGGTGAGGTGGGGGTGGGGGTGGAGCAAAACACCACAAAGCGCAGAGAAAGGCACATAACTGCTTGAGGAGCTGCCTGCCTGAGGCTGGGCGCTCTGGAAGTTCTAAAGCTCAAGAGTCGGGGGAGCACAGAGACATTACCAGCTCAGCATGTGTGCGTGGTCAGCCTGGAGGGTGTGACTCACCTCATATCCCTTCAGAGAAGGACCCACGAGAACCACAGGTCGCATGGAAGGCACCACATCATACGGAGGCATGTGCTCTGTCTGCAGAAAGTGGACAGGCAGTCAGATGCTCAGCAGGCATAACGAAGGGAACTATTTCGTGTATACGGCTCGGATTCGGAGCTCTTGGAGAGGAGGCATTGACTGTCCAGACCTTTGGCTGTTTAGCCTTGCCTCTTTCCTAAACAAACCCAAAGCTTCAGTGGGTTTATTTTCCTGACGTTTTCAGGCACTGAGCTGTGTTTGGTTCAAAAAGTAGGCGAGGCTGCTTTTGAACCAATGGTTGGCCTAACAGAAAAGGGCTTCCGGCAGAAGAGATGCTTTATATGCCTGATGGCACGTGGTTGTTGCTTTCTTAGACTGATCTGAGTTTCTAAAGAGTTAAAACGACCAGGCCTTAACATTATGACATAAAGAAGAAACAAAGGGTTTTTTTTGGGTTGTTTTTTAATTACCTTTGCCTCTTCGATATTTGGCTTACCTGCATAAAATCCAATTTCAAAATAGTATAATTATATAATAGTATAATACCCAATACTTGACACATTTGAATCAGCTTGCATGCTTGTTCCAGTAAACATTATTCATAATCACTGTTCATATATTAGTGATTAATGCTTTTGGATTTTTGGCTTCTATATCTTGGTACTTAAAGATTAAACATTTAACATCTATTTCTTTGTGTTAGGGGAGGGTAGATAATGCCTGGTACTAATTCAGGCATGCCTCAGTGGCCTGAAAATGTTCATGACAAACTTTTTTATTTAATAACCTTCCCCTGAGTTTAGGCAGTGCTTCTGTTACGTAAATAATCTATGTCTTTCTGCAATAATTTCATTCTTTTTCAGCTGAGTAGAGGGGAGGATAAGTGAACTTTTATAGTGCCTTCTATGAGCATGTCAAAACTTCACTGCTAAACTCTTCTAATTAAATTAATAATTTTTTTCAAATATATTACACAACAGCTAATTAACTTGATCTCCTACAACCACTACTTGAATAGCAGATGAGAAGATCAAGATGACCCCAAGATTGGCTTTTTGTTTTAGCACAGAGGGAAACAGGGTCTCGGACACAGGAATCAAGCTGGAGCTCTGTTCTCTGAGTACTTGTGCATTAAAGAGTAGCTGAGAAAATCAGTATCTTAAAAATAGCTCAGACCTCAACAAGAAAAAAAACAAAACCCCAAAAGTTCTTTAAACTATTATAAGAATTTGATAAACTATATGTGTAAACGTTTAGTATAATTTTTACATCTGCCTGTTGCTCAAGAGCTTAAAACTGCTCATTTACAAATATCCTGATTTTGTTTGATGTTAAGTACCATGGGGGCGGGGGGGAATGAAATAGCATTTCAAATCCCCAAAGCTTCCATCTGAGATTTCACCAACAGCCACAGACCATATAATCAATCAGAGGGTAGAAAATACTATGGAGAACGGTGCTGTCAAGTTGTACTGCTAAAAGCTGTACCTTGTGTTCAAAATTAATCTTAATAGACATGATAAAGGCAGCATACGTGTTTTGAACAGAAAGTTAAACAAGACAGACATGACACAGTGACAGCACAAATGCCCACAAGCACCACTCTAAAGCAATCTACGACATGGAGCACAACTGTATTACTGACTCCCAGGCACTTTCTTTTGCGTTTGTGACAGCTACATGAAAGTTTACCACATCACTGATAACATAAGAAGAATGAATACCAGTGCCGGAGGCATCATAAGCATATCGATTAGATTATCATATTCATACCACCTGGGATCCTTCTGTCCTCATAGCTAGGCAGCATTAAAAATATACCCTTTCGCCACTGTAAATGAAGAATGTAAGTCGTTTTTTAATGTGTGTGTTTAAGTAACAGCTACTAAGAAATTTCATTTCAGGTCTTTAAATATGAAGTGGCTCAGTAGTGGGGAGACCTTTGGTTCCTACCAGTTATTCAGGTCAAACTAGCAAAGGGTTAACCCATGCTGGCAATCAACCGTCTCTTAATCCAACAGGGTAGCTACAGAAATTACCTTATTTGATGGAATATTGGTACTTTGTGCTCTACTAGACAAGTAAACAATCATTTTGATCTACCTGGTTCCTGCTAAATATATTTTGTTCCAATTCTTAAGTAAAAAGAAAGCTGTGATCCAATTGGAATAGTAAGCAAATGTAAAATCAAACAAAAACCCCTCTTGTGGATATTCGTTGTGGTTAGTCAGCTGGCTGAGTGTTGTAGCTGTGACAAGAAGATGGGGCTGTTTGCCTGGTAAGGATGACCATCAAATTGAGATTTCCTGTGTTATCACCAACATTCAAGTGTTGTAGTTTTTGCCTGGATGGTGGGAGCCTTTCCTTGAAAGTAACCATCTGGCTCAAAAACCAATCTGCTGAACAAAAACCCGTTCTCTTTCAGTATCTGACACTTCATCAAGGGCTCCAGAGTCCTCCCACAAAGCAAACGATTTGCTTGCAGAGGAAACGAGTCTAGGGGTCTGGGAGTTTCAGGAAGAGAGCTGACTTTACAATTACGTGTCAAAATAGATTCGCAGTTGTGCGAGATTCAGAGAAAGTATTAACTACAAAATTCTGTATGCAAACTGTGGATGGTGGTGTGTAAAACGAAGGAAGAAATGGAAATGGGAAGGTCTTTAAAAAAGAAAAAACATGCTGAGAGGAAAGGGACTTTTGTCTGGAATTAAGAGAGGTCGGGAATCTCTTATATATTTCTATTTCCATAGGGAACAAGGAGTAGCATCCCTCTGTAGCACCTTGGCTGGCCAGTGGCGCAGGCTCTACAGGTGACCACAAGTCCTGTTATCCAAGAGGTGAGATGCTGACCTCTGGCTGACGGAGAAAGCAAGAACATTGGGCAGAGTATTGATAGACGACAATAGGAAAAACTCACAGTAAACCGCCAAAACAAGCCTGCAGTTTTCCACTGGTCTTGTTCATCTGCAGATTTTGCACCTAGTGGATTAGAAGTTTAAATACTGACTAAATTAAAAATTGAATTTTTTTGGTTTTAATTTTTAGTACAAGCTATGTTTCTGGATATCATCAATCAGATCTAATTATGGTTCCAATATGCATGATTATCAGTTAAAAACGGGGAAAGAAGGAAGAGACAAAGGCAGACAGAATCAGCATGCACAGTACAGGTGCATCGTACGGAGTTGTCGGTGTTCAACACCCTCGAGCGTTTTCCCCAGTCCCCCTGGTGGTGTATATTATTCCATCAAAGAGGATAAGTACTGTAATGGCTCGGTAACTGGCCGCCCACTGAATTTAGGTGGTTTGAAATGCATGGGCTCAATCCGATGTTTGAGAGGTTCTTTTCTCAGGGCAGAAATGATCGTATGTAATCAAACTGTGGCGATTAAATGCTAATGATGCCAGGGGCGGGATCAACATAGCTTATGTCAACGTGCACTTACCGATTTCTGCTTCTGCTTAGCTACAGCAGCGTGGGAAAGAAACAAAGAATACAGAGCATGCATGTTATTGACTCGTCAAAGGACACAGACAGTCAACAGAACCGGCAAGGTGACGCGGTGCGGCTGAGCAGCTGGACAGACGGGAGCTTGGAAGTTCTTGTTACCTTCTTAAAGAAAGGCATTCTTTTCTCTTTGGAGTGGGGTGACGTTACACTGTTTGCACTGGGCTTAGGGGAGCGGTGGTTTGCTGGAATATCATTTTCTTCTGCATCTAAGCCAGTAGCATCTATGTCTATAGCTATATACAGACAAACAATTCAAAAATCATCAGGGGGAGAGGGGACAGGAGAGGAAAAACAGGTTATAAAGAAAATAAAATGAAATCCAACAAAACTAGCCATTGTCAAAGATCTATTGTGAGTGCGGTACATACAGTAAAATGTAAAGACCAAGGCGCACTAAGGTATGTGATGCCAGCAAACCTCACAAAACAGAAAGAGAACCCTCCTGGCCTCTGGTGACTTGGACGCCACCTCTTCTCAATAGTATTTTGATAAACATTTGCTTCTTTTTTAATCTGCTGTTTTAAATATGAAGTTGATCTTTCCCATGGCAACTGTGGGAGAACTTAATACGCCCAGGGTGACTGACATGTACAGGACACTGTACTTCTTACAAATGCATTAAAACCAGCTCATAGATCATGGAGCAGCTTCATGGCAAGCTGTATCACAGGGGGCCTCGGGTTTCTCAGTTTGCTTGGCTTTGCGTGAAAATAAGGGCATCGTGAAAAGATTCGCTGAGAATGCACCAGGCACTTAAAGGGAACAGAGCATAGAACATTCTCGATCCAACTCAGGCTGAGACATCACGCAGAAGGCAAGTGGTCCCGGGCGGGCTCCGGGATAGGCAGATGACAATGATTTCAAGATGTTAGATGTACCTCTGTGCAGACTGGACTGAGGACTAATTGTGGAATACTGTATCCAATGATGCCCAAATAAAAGGAGTCTATCAAAACAACCTTAACATGACATTTTATGACTCATAAAAAGCCATTGGATTGCACATGAGAAGCAGGGAGGCGGGGGACAACATCCCAAGCAGAAACCCAACAAATGACTTTTTCTGGAAAACAAGGGGGATTTGGGCTTTTACCTTTAAAAATCTACTGAGCTGAAAATATGAGTTAGAGCACTTGAAAATTAAATCTTCAATGAAAAGAGAAAGAGGTTCATAATCTCATTTCATATTGTTTATATATATAATGCACGTATTTCAGAATTTCATCTCCTGTGGAACCAAGAGACTAGGAAGCATTTTAATGATCGACTTCAACTTTCTTATTTTGGGATAAGAAAGATAAACTCTTAGGGTGAAGGGACAAGCGCTTGGCAAACAGTAGAGCCAGGCTTCAGACACCTAGGGTGCGCCTGTATCCCTCCCCTGAACCACACTGCCTTTCCAACTGGGGTCCCTTCCCAGTCCCTGCACATTCTTCACTTCCCAAGTGGGGTCACATCCTCAAGATCAGGATACCACAGTGGTGACCTCACTAGAAACGTACTGTCTGGCTTCGGTTAAGGCAGAAGAAGGAAAGGAGAAGCTATACTCACCGCAGGAAGGCGTCGTATTATACCGAGTCGCCTTCTAACAAAACCCGCAGCACATTCAGCGTTAAGGGACAAATGGCACTTTGAAAGACCAGGCAGCTTGGCACTGAGACACAGCTTTCAGCCTTCCTTGGGGACACGCAAGCTGACTCAGTGCTCACCCCACAGTCATCGCTAACCTTTTCAAATGATGGCAGCTCACCTGGCAGGCGTCACACACACATTGTGTATGATTTTATAATTATGCTCGGGCTTAGATGATTCAGCTGTTGGTAAACTTGGATCTCTTAGTTAATTGTGCCTTTACATTTGAGTCGGTCAAAAAAGCTGTCACGCAGGGAACACTTGGCACGGTGGGCTTAATAACGCAGATATCGGCCATCGCTAGCAGAATCTTCCCTCGAGTCAAAGTCATACTGGCCTGATTTAATTCCAGGTGTTAAGCTAGACTTACCTAGTCAATATGTTTTCCTCTTTGCTCCATCTATGCATATTCAAGAGCAAAAAGGTTGTGGTGTGCTGGTGTGCGGCTCCCATCACTCGAAAATGTGCTCAAGGGCTTGGCACAGTGCTGAGTTTTGATACCTACAGCTAACGTTTTGCTCATTCTAGGATTCCTCTTTTATGGGGATTTCAAAATGACCTCAAGTCTGGAAAGAGTGTGAAAAAAAATATTTATTTTGAGGAGTGTTTTCCTTGAATCCTACTTAGCAAGCTTCATGCCTTCCTGGAGATGAAGAGGATGTAGGCCAGCAATTGCTGATCCCCATCAAAGACTCAGCAGAGCCCCTGTGGTGTGGTGGGTACTCACTGGGCTGTGAACCAAAAGATGAGCAGTTTGAAACCACCATCCGCCTTGGGGGAGAAAGATGAGGGCCTTCTACTCCAGTAAAGAGTTTCAGTCTGGGAAACTCACAGGGTCAGTTCTACCCTTTCCTCTAAGCAGAGAGTTTAATTTGACTCAGGGGCCCTGGGAGCGTACCCAGCAGGTCAGTGGTTTGAATCTCCTAGTTGCTCTATGGAAGAAAGATGTGACTTTCTACTTCCATAAAGAGTTATAGTCTTGGAAACCCACAGGGGACCATTCTATCCTGTCCTACAGGGTCATTATGAGTCATAATTGATTCGATGGCAGGGAGTTTGGTTTGGTTTGGGTAATAAGACTCAACCAATATAATTTGTGATTTTCCATATACCTTGAACGTGCTCATCTTTTATTGGGCTCATAGAGGCCATATTCAGGGGACAGTAAGATACCTCAATTGACACAGTGGCTTCAACAATGGGCTCAAGCACAGAAACACTCGGGCAGATGGTGCAGGACCAGCGGTGTTCCATTCTGTGGCACACACAGGTTTGCTATGAGCCAGAGCCAAAGTGACAGCCCCACAACAACCACAGCAATGGACGCCGGACGTCGGGGTACCTGGGTAGTGGGAATGGTGGACACTGTCGGCTGCTCACTGAAAGGCTTCACATCTGATTCCACCCAGAGGTGCCTCAGGAGAGAGGCCTGGCTGGCATTCCACCTCTGAAAAGCCAGCCTGTGGAGCCTAGTCTTACTCTTCACACAGAGGGGTGCCATGAGTCGAAGCTGACTCTGGAGAGTCTTTCTGAACTTGATATCAAAGCCAACAGAACCCTGGGGTGCTGAAGTTAGTAAATTGCATTGTACGATTTCTCCATTGAGTCAGGCAGCTGAATAGATTTTATTTTGTTCTTAACGAATGGAAACACATTTTAAAAGTTCACCTCTGATCTTGCCCAGATGTTTGGTTACTTAGGCAGGCACAGCTTAAGTCAGGTTAGAAGTTTACCTGGATTTGGCTCGCAGGGCTCTCTAAGTCCCAAACGGCAACCTCCCAGGGTATTGCTTTTGACTTCCACCCCATGAACGGTTTGGTTAATTTACGTCTAAGAGCATCTGGGTTGAAGCACACATCGAAAACATGTGGACACTTTCAGGATACATTCGAGCAAGCCACTCGGGACAGTTGAGGTGAAGCTCAACTCTTTTCAAAGTTCTAAACACTCAATAGACTCAGATGGTTCTCGAATACAGAGCGATTCTGCTTTTAATACGATCTCATACGGTCTTTGCAGGCCTTGGTCAACACTAGCATTTACCTAGAAAAACTGCTTCCCTGCAGGTGAAAGTTGGCTTGTCTTCCTTCTTCCCTCACTAGTCTTTTTTTTTTTTCTGGGGACGGGGGTTGGGGTGGGCAGTGGCAGGAGAGTTTGGGAATGGTTCTCTGAAATGTTGGGTGACTCAGACAATTGAGTCCACTTGCAGGGTGGAGTTCAGAGGCACCCAGTAGAAACCTGAGGAGGCGCTGGGTGTGCTCCTGCAAGTAGCGCCTCCCTCTTTCACAGATCCTTGAAACCATCCAAATATCTCTGCTTCCGGCAGATGCTTTTTTCCCCCTTAAATTAGGAGCAGAGGTTGGGGGCAGAGGGACTGCAGGAGAGGGCTATGGAAAACATGAACATGACAATGACCATTGCAGATCTATCCAAATGCGAGCCTTGGGGTAGTTTTCCCATTGAGGAGGGTGGGATACCTCTCTGGAGAATTTTCTCCTTGAGGTCATTTGAGCTATAAACCAAAGCTCACTGTCACTAAGTCGATTCTGACACACGGCGAGTGACCTAACCACAGAGTAGAACTGCTCCCTAGGGTTTCCGAAATTGTGAGACTTTGTGGGAGCAGAGAGCCCCATCTTTTTCCTGAGGAGCAGCTGGTGGATTTGAACGGCTGATCTTGCAACTAGTAGGCTAATGCTTAAGCCACCAGGGCTTCTTAGTGAGCAATGAACATGAAAACAACAGTGGGGTCCTCATAGACCTATAATAAATTGTGTAGTTGGTCAATCTCTCCGAAGCACCTCGATCACAGATTTTCTAAATATTTTCCCTTAGTTTTTGTTTTCAGGAAAGTCCCCCTGTCTGTATAACAAATTAGTGGCCCCATGGGACATTTTATTTCAATATGAATTGAAGTTGATTTTTAGGAATGGCAAACATCCAGCCACAAAAAAATGAAATGGCTTCTTAGGAAAACACAAACTCCTTCAGAATGCCTGCATCTTCTTTGATTATTGTCAGATTGCTAGAAGGCTACCGTGTGGTTAGAGAATGGAGGAACTCGTGGTCCACACAAGCTGGGGCTGCCATCGGTTGAGCTGTCTTAGCATGATGAGAGACAGAAGCTTTCCTTTCCAGGAGCCCAGTGAGGGGCCTCACAAGTCTCTGAGACAGCC